ATACATAAATAATGGGCTAAGTCCCCCAAGTATTTTTCATGAGGCCCAGTTGAGGCCCAATAGATGGTGTATAGTGTAGTCCCCCAAGTCTTCGGTCAATAGAGTCTGTTGGCTGGAGACTTCAAATTAAATCCGTGTATGGGCCGAAGTGGCGGTTGTTCGGAGGTGGTATTTGTATACCTTGTATTGAAGCTTTGTAGGTGAAGCTTTGCAAGTGAAGCTTTGAAGCTGGAGCTTTGTAAATGAAGCTTTTGAAGCTTTTGAAGCTGTAGTTCTGTGAATGAAGCTTTCGAAGCTAGAGCTTTTGTAAATGAAGCTTTTGAAGTTGATTGACATGAGTGATGCTCATGAATGTTTGATTGACATGAGTAATGTTCATGGATGTTGACATGAGTGATGCTTATGAATGTTGACATGAGTGATGCTCATGAATGTTTATGTATGATTGATATGAGTGATGCTCATAAATGTTTATGTATGAATGACATGAGTCATGCTCATGTATAATTTGGAGTATTGGGCGTACTTTTGATCACCTGGTTGGTGGCATGAAGGAGAGTACGGGTTGTACATTTCATCACCTGGTTGGTGGCATGAATGGCTAGTTGCCACATGATATTTAGAGTATGGGTTGTACATTTCATCACCTGGTTGGTGGTAATAGCGACGGGTTGCCGAATAATTGTGGAGTACTGGGCGTACTTTTGATCACCTGGTTGGTGACATGAAGATGAGTTCCTTCTTTACCTGGTTGGTGGCATGAGTGGCAAGTTGCCAAATGATATTAGAGTACGGGTTGTACATTTCATCACCTGGTTGGCAATAATAGCGGCGGGGTGCCGAATAATTTTTTGTGTTACTGGACGTACTTTGGTTCACTTGGTTGGTGCTATTTTGGGCTTATAAGCATTCGCTCTTTACACAACATTCCAGCCTATTTATTTTGGGCTTTGCCTTTTTCTTTTTTTTACCCTCTGATGGGGTTTATACAGATATCTCCAAAAGATAAGAAAAATAAATTACATCATACAAAAACAAGAAAAGCAAACCACATCACTCTGGTGGGGTGTTTATTCCTTGTTTTTGCAGTGCGGGTGTTTATTGCTTGTGTTTTTCTACTACACTCTCTTTGTCTCTTCATTTGGCAGACAAAAGGAATCGTAATAATAAGAACATTATAATTTTGCCCTTTTTCTTCTTTTCTCTTTTCCTTTTCTGCTTTACTTTCTCTTTTTCTTTTGCATTGTCCGCCATGTGCTCCCCCATGATTCTCCCTCTACTCCAGAGAGATAAGTCATACAATTATAGGACCCACCAGACTCTTCCAAAACCCATCAATTTCAATTCTTATCTGCGGCAGATTTCGAAAAACCCAGAAAACCACTAACAAAACCGGAGGTCCTTCCTGATTTCCAAAACCACTAACAAAGTCGAATCAATTTCCTGATTTTGAAAACCCAGAAGACCACAACGTCGTCGTCCAGGCTGATTGATTTGCGATCGCATTGAAGAGCAAGCTTCGTGACCTGTCTCCGGCACCAAACTGCTGAACCACTTAATTCCTGCCTAGTTTTGCAACGATAAACCTTGAACAAAATCTTCCTCAGACGGGAAATCTTCAGTATCGTCGTCAACATTACGACACGAAGTCGCTGGCGTAGGTTCCCGCTTCTCAGCCACCCCTCTCTTGAGCCGCTTGAGTGGTCGGCCGGGTTGGGACTCAGGATCTGGATTCGGTCCGTGATTTGAGGCTCGAACTCCTCATCTACCTCCACGGGTGTATGGGCATTGGAACCCTGCGAATAGTTTGGAGTTACGACAGGTATGGAGTGGTTCGCGGCAGCTGGTTGGAGTCTTGTTTGAGTAGACAAGGTTGAGCCTCCGTCTGAGCCTCGTGGGAAGTCTCGGAGGCGAAGAGAAGGACGACGCCGTCTCTTCGGTCAGAAAATCCATACCTATACCGCTGCCCCCACCATGTCTCGTCGTCGTCGTGAAAGTCGTTGATCAGTCAGCATGACGTCGTATAGATTATGAATTTCGATTTCGCGCGAATCAATCAATCAATCAATAATTTGATTAAATGAATGAATCCAATTATTGAGCCCATGAGAACAGCACATTAGTTTGTGGAGGAACCGATGAAGTAGGCCTGAAGTTAGAGGCATTTGGTCCAACCACAAGCTCAGATGATGAAAAAATGTGTCTGTTGCGTGACAGGTGGAGGTTTAAAACCGTATGCCTCCTGTCCACCCATGGGACCTGAAGATGAAAAAGGCATTATGTTTTGAGGAGGAGCCGCAAAAGGTGCAGTGGCAGGTCTTGCAATAAAATTTGGACGACTAGGGTTTTCAGTACCCATAACTTTGGTTACAAACACCTTTGCTTCCGCACATTTGTTCCTCTCTCTGAGGGTGTTGTTGCCGTGGCTTTTGCTGCTTCGGTGGAGAAGGTGCGGTGGAAGGCGGATGACTGGGCTGAGCTGGAGAAAGAGGTTAAGGCTCTCCTGGAGACGCGAGTTATGGCTGCCATTGGAAATGAGCAGAAAGAGATTGATCCAATCTTGAAGAAGAGCCGCCACCAGGCCATCCATGCTTCCTCATTTTTTCAGTTGGAATCCCTGTGTATGTGTCTCTATGTGGGTTTTGCAGATCCACGGCGGAGGTGAAAAAACGAAAGAGAACCGACATAGTTTTTCGTGTCGATTCCCACAGACGGCGCCAAATGTTGATACACAAAACCGGAGGTCTTGGAACAACGTAAATCCGACTGTGAATCTGCATGAAATGTAAATAACACAAGATGTATCGTGATTCACCCCAAGGTTTGGGCTACGTCCACACTGATTATTTATTTATCTGAGGGAGAGAGAGCTTTGAGAGTGAGAGCTTTGAGAGGGGGTGAAAGGGCTAGGAATTGGCCTCCTCTAATTGTGAGGGTGAGGGTGAGGGGTCCTTTTATAGAATAAGGACTCCTCACTTATTACATATTTGCCTTTTTCTTTATCACATAATTACATTTAAGTCCCCCGAGTATTTGTACGAGATCTAAATACGAGGCCTTAAATATGGTATAAACATAAGTCATTTTTTCTCACAAATGATCCTTAAAATTGACCTACGACATCAAAATGGTCTTTGAAATTGAAAATCGATCAATCTAGTTCCATAAGTGTCCCAAATCAATGTAGTCCATCAATCACAATTCTGTAAAAAAATTTGTTATGTGTTGATGTGACACATAAATGGATCACACAAGTCTAATTAAATTTAAAAAAAATTACAAATAGGTTTAATAATTTAATAGTATAAAATGTTGTGAATCCCAAAAACCTAGTCTTGCAATCACTTCCAATCTCAGTCCACATTCCTGTACCTCCTTTGTTGTCTATTCTCTAAAAAAAAATCTCAATACACTCATCTTTACACACATTGACACCTTCATCGAATTGAACCTAGATTGAGATCACCTTTGTTGACGGTTTGGCTGATTGGCAACGATTTTTGTGACATCATCGTTAGGCCTTGGTTAATGAGGTTATAATCGAGATGCGTCTATTGTTGGTTGAAAACTATTTCCAAACCCCTCTTAGGCTTGGTTAAGCTCTATTTAGACAACTTTTTAAATTAATTATTAAACCCACATCAGCACATAACAATATTTTTTTTTACAGAATTGTAGCGAAATGATCATATTGATTTGTGACACCTATTTTCAATGACTACATTCATCGATTTTCAATTTCAGGGATCATCTTGATGATGTGGGTCAATTTCAGGGACCGTCTTAATGGTGTGAGTCAATTTCAGGGACTATTTGTGATAAAAACTCGTAAATCTTGTGGGGCTCATTTATGTACCACATCAGCACTTAACATAATTGTGACGGAATGACTATATTGATTTGCAACACCTATTTTCAGAAAACCCTACGTTTTAAATAGTGTGTTATCTTCTCTTCACCCTTACCAATCTTACGATGAACGGTAATGCAAATATAAAAAAATAGGGATACTTTGGATGTGGTTCCTAGTCTCGAACACTCTTTGACTAAAACCTTAATGGTACAAATTAAAAATGGGTACACCTAAAAATAAAAATATATGATAAAAAATTTAGCCATAAATATAAATATACTAATTGTAACATTTTTAACACTAAATGAATATTTTTAGGTAAAAATACTTTATTATTGAAATAATTAATGATGTTATTAATACCCAAAAACCTTGATAAAAAATTAAAAAAAAAAGATTTTAATCAATAGAGTAGTAAAAGAAATGATGAGAAGCTAATTTCTCATAAAAAATAATACTATAGAGTACGTAAGTAGCACTCAATTTGAGCGCTGATACACCCACCATAAAATGTTAAGAAAACCGAACATTCTCTTATCACCCCATCACGTAAATTATCCTATCGCATGCAATGAATGAATGTTTATTAACGCACAAACCAACCCTAAGATTGCTAACATGGATGATGTGATGTGTAAATGCAGATACTAGTATGATATATATAGTTAAAAGAGAGGATGATATGTTAAGTTCTAACCCTAACCCTAAACCTAATCATCATCATCATCATCACCATCATGTTTTCGCCATTACTCCCGCAAAACACTGATACATGGGGGGCGCAATATAAGCGCTGAAATCGAGCGCCTCCGCCTCTCCCTCTGCCTTTCCACAACCGGCAGCAGCAGCAGTAACGCGGCAGCTTTTATGTGTTATAAATTTTAAATTGTCCTTGAGGCTGGCGACGGTTGTGGTGGAGCTCAGCAGTAAAAACCTTGCTTTTCTTTTCTTTTCTTTTTTCTATTTCTTCAAATTTAATTGTGTTATTTTAGGGAAATTAAATTTCCTAAATATGATAAAATAAAAAGGACGTCATGGGGCTGCTTTTGCCTCCTTGGCTCTCCATTCGCGTGCCCTTCTTTTACGCTCTCTGTCAGATTTCTCCCCTCCTCTTGTTCCGTCACATCCCATCTCTCTCTCTCTCTACACATATAAGTCTAGTCGCTTCTGTCCTTTTTTCTTCACTTCTCTCTCTAGCCAGGGATTTTTTTCTCTCTCTAGGTTGTTTTTGGAGTTTGAGCGCTCTCTCTCTCCCTTTTCTCTGTCTGCTTCATAAACACAGAAAGATCACATCTTTCTCTGTTTTATCATCCTCCCAATTCTCTCCGTTATCAGTTTTGGGCGGAGATGCGTCGTGGACGAAGGTTGGTTCCGTCGTACACTTAAGCAGATATGTAAGTCCCTCTCTCTCATCCTCCTAATTTCCACATTTCGTATAACTGTGCAAATATTTAAGAAAAAAAAAGCAAAAAGTTTCGTACTTTATAGCTTAAAAGTTCTGATTTTCACCAATTCTACAATTTAGGTTGTGGGTTTATGGGGAAAAACATAATCTTTTTTCAAAACAAGATTTTGGGTTGTTCTTAGTTTTGTCTGCAATTCCAGTCTCTGTTTTCTGCGGATAAGAATCTGCTGTATTAGAGTGATTTAGTGACGATTGGTTTGCATGGTTGGTTGTTGATTATAATTTACTAATTTCTATGCGTGTTGTCTCAATTCTGATATCGATTGTTGTACTTTGTTTTGTTAATTAGTTTAATGGTGTCGGTGAAAGTAAATGTGTGGTAAGATCTTATAATCTTTAGAGATGAAATTTTCATGTGAGTAAATTAGAAAATAGACCCCATAGCCCCACAAACCAAATTGCAGAGTAAGAGATGATCAAAACATTTAAAGCTATAAAGTACGGATTTTTTTACTTTTTTCTTAACTATGATAGTAAATTAGAAAACAAAATTACACTCGGACAATTATAAGTTTTGCTGCACTAAGTGATAATTAGTTGTCAAGTTAATTTGGTGTCATTCTTCCACAGTAACGTCAATCGTTTTTGAAGTGTTTTTCTCGAAAATGTGATATATTCCAAGGCTTGGTGTCTCTCTAGCATTACTCATTGTTAAATCATGGCGGTTGGTTGGCCTTTTTATTTGGTTCTTAATTGGTTGATCATTGACAATTTTTGGTTTATTAGTGGGCCGTTAATTAAGCATTGGAGCATATTTGTAAACATATTGGTAATCTGGCAGTGTTCTGTCACTTTTGAGTGTTTTTTGTTGTTGGCATTTTGGAAAGAAAAAAATAATGTACCATAAGATCAAAATTGGATAGCTAAGAAGGTCTATCCGCAGCCCAAACGTGAATATCAGTTTTATTTTCCACCTTGTTTTGTGACCAATCGGGTGTCTCGAATTAATTTCTGTATCCTAAGATGAACTTTTGAGCGTTTGTTGGTGAGATCAGTTTTCATTTTTCACCTTGTTTTGTGATCCTCGATTGAATTACCGTACCTAAAATCAATCAGTTGCTTCGATTAATTTCGGTATCTGATGTTTTTGTGTTTAATGTAATATTTTTACCTTTGTTGTGAGAAAGATAACTTTAGTTTATATAGGGGAGTGACTTCTGCACTCCGTTTTGACCTTACGCACTCCCTTCTTTCGTTATGGTTCTTTCTTTTTGGTCATTTAATGAAACGGAACAAAAAAAATCAAGGAACAAAATTAAGGGGTGAGTGCAAGAGGTGCAATGGAGAGTGGAAATCACACCCTATATAAAATTAAATCATCATATTATGCTGGCTATTCTGAATCATTACATATACCCTGAAGTAGGGAGTATTTAAGTTTATATTTTAATAAATACCTATTAGTTAATTACCAAATTAAAAATAAATAATACATATGTAAATAATTGAATTATTCAAACTTTGTGAAATATATTATGTGCTTGTTTGTTATCTTCCATTTACTGTATATAAGTACACCAGTTAATAAGTACAATGTATATTAAATTATGGAAATAATTGAATTATTCATCTCGAAATGTATCATGTTATAGTTTGTCATCGTCCCTTTTCCTGTCTAAAGTTAATAAGTTTGTATGGAAAGGATTTCTTACAAAGAGCTGCCCTGTTCTCAACTTTTTTATACGCATGCCAGACCCGATATGCTCTCTAAGTTTAATGATTTGGCTGAAGAAATAGCCATTGTGTTCGTTGTATGCCAATTGGAATATATTTGACCAGTTTTCAGGATTAAGCATTTCTCCTTTTGTTCATCAAAACTCTAACATAATCCTAGTTAAATCCAGCATTACTTGTCAGTTTGTTATTTTGCTGATGTCTCGACTGTTGAACTACAATGAGAATGCTCATCTTCTTAAATTTTTTCCGTTTCTGTATTTGACTATTAGTGGTTGAATGGCTGGTGAAGGCACCAGGAATTTATGGAGGTTCCTTTATTTTCTTGTCTTAAATGCATGCATGGGCGATGAAATTGTTATCCTGGTTTCAAAACAAGCATGCAACTGGTGGCCGCAATTTCATTCCATTAGAGGAAATTTACCGTTTGATGCACATATTAGCCTCATTGTTTCTATCATCTGGTAGCTGTATCTGCTTCTTTTGGTTTTCATAGTCTTAGCTAGTTAGTTCCTTCCTATCCAGTTGTTTATTTCCTTTTTGACATTAACATATCATAAAATCACAGTAGGAGATCGACTAATATAATGGCGTCTGGATCCCAGATACATTATGAAGAGTTTCGGTTTGAGGCAATGGACAATTGTGCGTGCTCCTGGAGATGAAGGAGAGACAGCGTTGGAGTGCTGAAGAGGACGCTTTGTTACGTGCATATGTGAAGCAATATGGACCAAGGGAGTGGAACCTTGTATCGCAGCGCATGAACACACCCCTAGACAGGGATGCTAAATCTTGCTTAGAAAGGTGGAAGAATTATCTCAAACCCGGCATTAAGAAAGGATCCCTAACTGAAGAGGAGCAGCGCCTTGTCATTTGTCTTCAAGCCAAACACGGTAATAAGTGGAAGAAAATTGCTGCTGAAGTCCCTGGTCGTACGGCTAAGAGATTGGGAAAGTGGTGGGAAGTGTTCAAAGAGAAGCAGCAAAGAGAACAGAAGAACAAGAAGATAACTGACCCTATTGTGGAGGGTAAATACGATACAATACTTGAAACTTTTGCCGAGAAGTTGGTGAAGGAGCGTGCGCCAACCTATCTCATGGCTACTTCAAACGGGGCCTATCTTCATACGGAAACATCTTCTCCAGCGCCAACGATTCTTCCTCCTTGGCTTTCTAATTCCAGTGTGTCCCCCAATGTGAGGCCACCATCTCCTTCTGTTACCCTGAGTCTGTCCCCGACAGTGGCACCCTCTCCGCCAATCCCTTGGCTGCAGCAGGATCGAGGATCAGATGGTAGTTTTGTTGTGGGAAATTTGCCACATCATGGTGTAGTTCCCGCTTGTGGGGAGAACCTAGTGATATCTGAGTTGGTGGAGTGCTCCAGAGAGTTGGAGGAAATGCACCGTGCTTGGGCAGTGCATAAGAAGGAAGCTTCGTGGAGGTTAAGAAGGGTGGAGTTGCAACTGGATTCGGAGAAGGCTTGTCGGAGGAGGGAGAAGATGGAAGAGATTGAAGCCAAGGTGAAGGCTCTAAGGGAAGAGCAGAAGGCTGCTCTAGACAGGATCGAAGCAGAATACAGGGAACAGTTAGCAGGGCTAAGGAGGGATGCAGAAGCAAAGGAGCAGAAGTTGGCTGAGCAATGGGCCGCGAAGCATTTGCGTCTCTCCCAGTTTCTCGAGCAGATGGGAGGCAGACCAAGGATTGTTGAGCCTAACGGCCGGTGAGAAATATGTGTTTTACATGGTCATTGTAGACGCATGAGGTCCGAATTTCTATTTCTATTTCTGTTTTCTGCTTTGTTTCTTTCCTTGCTTTTGATCTCGTGTGCATTCTGATCTGAAATGCTGTCATAGGTGTTTTATTACGTATACCGTCTGGCTATTGGCCTGGACCGAATGACTGTATTATCTTTTCGCAGTTCTTACAATTATATTTTTACCTGTTTCTGGAAAACTTATGCTTCCGTATTTGAACCTACTGAAAAATGATCCAACTCTTTGTTTTAAACTAATCTGACTACGAGGAAGGGGATTCGAACTCTTTGTATTACAAGTGCTAGTCCAATCCGGCATTGAGTATCCTTTTTTGGGCTCGAAACTGAGTAGGTTTCCACAAGTGACAGTTGCAAATGTTTGGACTCCACAGAGTCTAGCCTAGCCTGGAGTCCTACTCTTCTTTTGAATGTCTAATTAGAGGAGGGTTTTGATATATCTGAAGCTTGAATGGACATACAATTGCATCAATGATATTGAGGAATGTTAACGTTTTGCATGCAATCACCTAAAAAGTTCACATACATTAACGACGGATAACCATTCATGCAATCACTATTGCTCTTTTAGTCATCACATCGTGACATGCAACAAAAAACTTTCATCAACTTCCGGTAGATCGAAAACTCTACCATTTAGCGGCTCGAGTCCTTCGAACAAACCCTCATCAACCATTAGTTCCTCCTCATCGACCATTAGTTCCTCGGCATTTACTTGCGCCTCCCTTTTTGATGGTCTATCAGATGGGTATGCTTCATACAGTATGAAGGTAACCACTTCAACTGCCGATCTAAAGTTGACAGAGTTCTTGTGTGTACGTAACTGCAAAATAAACATTCATTTTCAGAAAAAACTACTCATAGAATTCTTTCTTTTCAACTTGCAAGATTTTACAGATACAAACAATTTATATCTTGCAAACACCACGTACATCTGGTGTTTGCTTTCCTATCTCTATCCATTTATATACTTATCCACACTAATGACCGGAGCAATCTAACGACGATCACAAAAAGCGACCGTTTTCGCTACCTAGGATCTATCTTGCAAGAGAACGGAGAATTAGATGGAGATCTCAACCATAGAATACAAGCTGGATGGATGAAGTGTAAGAGTGCATCCGGCGTGTTGTGTGATCGTCGTAGGTCACTGAAGCTCAAGGGAAAATTTTATAGGACGGCAATAAGGCCAGCGATGTTGTATGGCACAGAATGTTGGGCGGTGAAGCATCAACACGTACACAAAATGGGTGTAGCGGAGATAAGGATGCTTTGTGGGATGCTTTGTGGGATGTGTGGGCACACGAGAAAGGAGAAGATTGTGAATGAGGATATCCGAGGTAAAGTAGGAGTAGCCGAAGTTGAAGGAAATATGAGAGAAAATCGGTTACGGTGGTTTGGACATGTGCAAAGAAGGCCTACTGACGCTCCGGTTCGAAGATGTGACTACGGAACAGAGGTTCGGGGCCGAAGGGGTAGAGGAAGACCTAGGAAAACTTTGGAAGAGACCCTAAGAAAAGACTTAGAGTACTTGGATCTAACGGAAGACATGACACAAAACCGAGCGCAATGGCGTTCTAGGATTCATATAGCCGACCCCACTTAGTGGGAAAAGGCTTTGTTGTTGTTGTTGTTGTTGTTGTTGTTAAACAATTTATATATATGGAGTTCTCTAAGAAAAGATCACGGAGTTATGGTTCCATAATCACATAAAGGGACTTTGGGTAATTAGGGTTATTAGGATCTTCAACACTTTCTAAAAGAGTTCAGTGAGATCCAAACAAGAAACAAATTCAAAATCAAATTACCGTGTCTGTACGACTTCCTGATTTTCTTTTTGTGCACTTGATCTTCCAACCCTTGAGTCTTTCTGCAAAAGAAAATCTGCAAACTCTTCCAGCTATACTTTCACGGATCCCATTGTCCGTGGGCACTAACTGCAGCAATGAACAAAATACACAATGAGTCCCTCATCACATAACGTCCTACAGGAAATAGCATATATAAAGGTTTTTGCAGTTGACAAGTACAATTAGTTGGGGGAAAAATATGCATGTCATGGTACAGATCACTGTTTATAGGAATGGTACTTTACATTCTCAATGTCAAGACCAGCCCGAGGGAGATCTCCCGGAAGCTTGAACGAGTCGACAATATTTATCCCATCCAAATTGTGTTGGCTTTCTTTCCTTCCTTTAACATGAAAGGCAATGAAAGTTATGTGATAGTCACGAGAACATTTCTATACGAATCCTATATGTATATATATGTGTATGTATGTATATGTGCGCACAATGTGTCAACTGATAAAAAGATCAATTAAGTGGACAAGCCACCTCGCATGCAGGTTCAAATTCTTGTTTAATTCATAGAATTTTAATGTACAAAGCAGATCCTCTAAAACTCCACAGAGTCTGGCCTGGCCTGGAGTCTTAAATCTTCATTTGAATGTCTAATTAGAGGACGGTTTTGATATATCTTAAGCTTGAATGGACATACAATTGCATCAATGATATTGAAGAATGTTAGCGTTTTGCATGCAATCACCTAAAAAGTGAGTGTGGTGAACAAATAAGATAAAAAAAACCGAAAAGTTATATTTTAATCCTTGTCTAAGATTACTTTTTGAATAAAACCTTGTCTAAGATTACTTTTTGAATAAAACCTTGTCTAAGATTAAAAACTAATTCTAATCATTGACATTTAATTTTAATTTTTGAATATTAAATAGGTTGTAATAATTATTGAGTTTTTTGTTTGTAGTTTATACATTGATTTCTCATAAAAATTAAAAATGTTATTTATCATATATTTTTCATTGTGCGTAAATTTCTCCATATTTATGTATATGCATATTACGTATATATGTATGTTTAGATACCATAGTTACATATCAATACATTTGTACCGACACATTTATATCGATATATACATTCGTACCGAAAGTTATGTAGTGATACATTTGTACCGAAACTTACGTACTAATACTTCTACATCTATGAGTAAAATAAGGTACCTAAAGTTATGTATTGATACATTCGTACCGAAACTTATGTACCAATACTTCCGTACCTATGAATAAAATAAGGTACCGAAAATGTATAAATTGTTTTTGTTTTGTTGTTGTTTTTTTTTAATAATAAGAATATGAATTTATTAAATTTTTATCTATTAATATGATTGGAGAACAAAAAATATTCATTTATTATGGATGGGTAAAGAATTTCGAAGGGTAACATAAATAAAAAATGTGCTATAATTACTTATATGGTAAGTTTTAAAAATAAGGACTTATATTAGATTTTGAAAACCATTCATGTTAAAATCTAAAAACAATCTTATTGAAGCCCTAAAATCTAAAAACCCCATAAAAAAATGAAAAGGACCAAATGAATCTCCTTAAGGCCATCTCCAATTGGGCCATCATAGGGCCATAGGCCAAAGGATAGCCTTTTTGATACAAAACCCATCTTCAATGAAGGTCTGGGGCAAAAAATCTTGGGATCCATCGGGCCCAAATCCAGCGATATGGCCAATGGGCTGGCCATCTTTAACTAGTCAGCCATCCTTTTTAGTTGGGCCTAGCTGGATTTTTTTAAGAGAAATTAAAAAAAAAATCTATTTTTTTCCTATAAATACCTAAAACATTTCTACACCATTTCTCACATCCTTTTTCACTCTTCTATACTATCTTACCTCATTTTATTTGAATTCTTCACATTCTATTTACCTTAAACGCTCTTTTCATACAAACCCCTCTTTTACCTCTTCCAATAATTTTTCCTTTATTTTTTTTGATAAATTTCAAATGGCCACATCTTCAAGTGGCACTCAAAATATGTTCGGAGACTTATTCATTTAGTGACAAGTGACACTTAAAATATGTCCAGAGGCAAAAGAGATCCCAATTCCGTTTGTCCGGTTAAGCAATAACCTTATTTTAATATGATAGTTTAATTTAATTAACCAATAAAATTAAAGAACAAACTTAAAATAATAAATATTGAGGGGCTTAAAAACAGTTTCCTTCAGTTGGAGATGGTATATAAATATGGTCTAGCATTGTTAATTAAAAAATCATTTCTCGCAGGACTATAATCTGAACGGCGACTAAACATAGCTTTTTCATTTGGAGATGGCCTAAGTTTCATATGCAGTAAGCTTTCAGTATCACTATCCTTAAGTTTCATATGCAATAAGCTTTCAGTATCACTATAATACTTCTCTACTTTTTAATAATTTTTTAAGGAATTAATGCAATAATTAAAAAAAGAAAAAAAACTCTAAAAATACAAAATAAAATTACCTCAAGTACAAGAGGAAGAGGAAGTAGTTACTGACAATAAATACCTTTATTTTATTCTCTTAAACACATGTAAATTCAGTTCATTAAATAATAGAATAGTATGCAAAAGAGCAAAAAGAAACTGAAATAAAAAGAAAAACACTAATATCTCGGGAGTTTGCTCTCCATGAAACACCACCTGCTTGCTAAGCTCAAGAAAGAGGCCAAATTTTTTTCGTGATCCTTGTGGTGATATCCTACTTTTAAATAGACCCTTGTGGTGAAAAAGTTATTAATTGTAATCCTGTGATGAAATTCGTTATCAATCATAGTCCAAATTGGATTTTTCCTCATTCTTCCATCATTTGTAGGGGTAAAATTGTTATTTTCGTTTTTATTGATTCTATGAACCAATCATAAAGCATCATATGAACACAATTTTTTTTTTAAAAAACTTTTAGAACTACAATAAAAGAATAAATAAACAATAAAATGACAAGGTTCATATTATTAGATTTTCTCATTTCAAGAGAGCCAAGAGTCCAAATTCAAGATTTAAAAAATCACAAAGTACCTCACTGCGTTTATGTTAGAATATAAGTTATTATGCAAACATTGAATTTAGTTTTATTTTAATAACAATAGTGGATGGGATGGCTAGGGTTATGTGAGAGAGAGGGGGGAAGGTGGTGGGTGGTCGTCGTGGCTATGGCTGACAAGAGTAGGGATTGGGGAGGAATTTTTGTTTTCCTTTTATTTTTGTTGATTATAAAAAAAAGTGGAATTACCAAAAAGAAAAGAAAAAAGAATGGAATGACTTTTACCCCTTCATGTGGATGAGATTTTAACAGAAATTTCAATTTGGACTACAATTGATAACGAACTTCACCACAGGGTTAAGATTAACACTTTTTTCACTGT